CTTACAGAAAGAGAAAAAAACAGGCCACTTCAAAACAATAAAAGCAACCTCTAGTACTGATAGGGATTCTTACTTGGAGTGTAGAATAATGTGACCTTGTACGTATGTGAAGAAAAAATGTAAGCTTTGTCGACCGTTGATTTAAGTAGAAAAAATTTAATTTTTTTAAAATAAAATTTTTAATTTAAATTTTATAAATAAAAAAATTTTATGAATAAAAAAATAAGTATCGAGAGAATTTCTTTCTTTGTAGAATTCAATGCAGTTCAATTTTAAATTAATTAAATTTAATGTGATTATCGAATATCAATAAGTTAATATAAATATATATATATATATATATATAAGCTTTTAACACTGTCAAGATGAACAATTTCAGATTTTCAACTACTTAATGAATGGTATCTACTATTTAGTTGAATTGCATATACTAAGTCTCACTAATTTTGTAGTTGGAATTGGATCCCTAGACATTTTTTAATGCAAAGGGTATTTTGATTTCCCAAATTTTCTACAATAAAAACATTATTTTTTTCTTTTTTAATCTCTAATTGTTTTTCAAAATCTTAACTTAGAGATATTAAGCTCAATAACCTAAATAATCAAGTGGTAATTTTTTTAGCGAAAATAAAAAATTTAAATTTAAATCATATAATAAATAAATGAAAATAATTAAAAAATAAAAAATGATTGTCTCTTTTTATGCAAAATAAAAAATAAAAAAAAAAAACAAGATTTGAAAATTTAGGAAAATAATTGATACACATTCGGTTCAACACTTTTTTTTAATACACTTTTGAGTTAACCATTAAAAATGTAATACAAATATAATTAATTTAATCAATTCTTACATTATGTGTGTATGATTATATTTTTAAATTTATCTTCTTTTAATTTTAGATCAAAAAATAATAATTTTTTAATAAATATCTTATATAATATATTAAACTGAGCCAATATCCACCATTATCCTAAAATTACTATGAATGGAGAATTGGAGTTATGATATAAGGAGTGAACATGTGCAGTGTGTGGTTTTGGTAATTCTGAATGAGAAAAGCATTTTAGGTGGGCTCCGCAACACAAAATGACAAGGTTTATTTGGTCTGAAGTTATCACGTTAACTTCCCACATAGGTCAAGGAAATTGATTAGAAAACGCCTGAATACCAAGATGACATTTTAAAATTAAATTTAGCCTTAACTCCAAGACTGTAAGCTTAATTGGTCCACCAAAAAAAAAAAAAAAAGTTCAAGTGTTGAATTAGTAAACCAAAAAAGTTCAAAAGCTAACGTAAGGTTTAATCTATATACATTAATCAAGGACCTATGTACATGTCTTGGAGATGGGGAATAAAGGTTTTGCTATCTGGTTAGTTCCATATTCCATGTTTGGATTGGTCGGTTTAATTAAGGTGCTGTTTATCTTCCTCCTAAGATTCATTCCACGATTTGAGAATAATCCTTTACTTTTCATATTCAATTCATACTACTATGCTTCCTAGTTCAAAGATTTCGTGCTCTCAAAGATGCTGCAGCTGTTGTATTGTGCAAAAGATGGTCTCAAAAAACCAGCTATATATTTCTGGCATAAATAAAACTCTGGCATGAATTTGAAGACAAAGAAAAATGATACCTAAAATCAGCATATATAACTTCTATATGGTTGGACAAGAATAATCAAACTTGGAAAGAAGTTCCTTCAATTCTTTGCTTTAACATGGTGTCAAATTAAGATCTGATCTATGGTTCGGTAGAAATTTGTCTGATATTTGTGAATAGAGCAATTTGTAAATACTGATAAAATAAATAAGGCCAAAAGTTAGTTAAGTTTTGTTATTGTTCTGTTTTTCGCTCATGCTCCCTTACGTAACATTGGGTCCAATCTTGCCATGTGCCTACCAACTTTGATGAGGACAATGAAACTCTAGAAAATTACCCATTGAACTACTTCATAATTTGTAAATTAAATTTTCGGTTGAACTCCAGCTAAGATCTGAGGCTAGAGGAGGTTGGATTTGGTGGGTAGTTAGAAAAAGTCGAAAACATTGAAATAAACTGACAAATCTTTACCAAATTTGTAAGGTATGATTCCTTGGTGGTCCAATGGCTGGATGTCATGTAGACCTAAAACAATTTCTTTTTTCTTGATCTAGCCAAAGCAAATTAACAATTATATTAATTATATGAATTTGGTCAGTCTTTATATGCCAGCAGTCTAAAGGAGATTCTAAATCAAGATTAAATAATTTTCTTAAATATTGACGAAATTAAATTAAATTTATTAATTTCAATTAATTAGTTCATGCCAGTCCTGGCTCACAAAACCAATATTCTTAATGAGCTCTTACACAATATTACCTTTATTTTACAGTAAGATGATCTGACGGATCAGTTTGCATAAATTATAATAAGTGAATCATGTTCCTCAATTTAGTTAGTTGAGTTATAACAAATGCTATTTCTTAAATTAAAAAATTTACGAAGAAATTAGTTTTACATAGTTTTCGAGAAAGTCAAGCTTTGATAATTGATTAATGAGGAATGAAACAAAATTGACGCATAAGAGAGTAGATTTGGAGGTAAGATCTGTCACAGACTCATCTTGTGGTAACCAGCTTTATCCTTGAGGGAAATGTTTGCTGGCATTGGGCATGAATTTGAAATTATTTTTAGTTAATTTATGGTGTGTTTGGGATTGCGATTGAGAGTTTTTTCGTGTAACCGTACGACGCTTTTA